GTTTTACTCAAATTTTCTCACTGAATTCTGTCTTCACCCATCTGATCTTTGAGAGATTGTTTGTGATTATTGATGGTCTTTCACATTATCAAAAACAAATGAAAGTAGTAGTAAAAAAAAAGTTTTGAACTCAGAAGAAAAGCAGAGGAAAGGGATAGCTCATGGCTCATAGCTCATACGTCTGGATGTGACATCTAAGGATGATGGTGGTGAGGTCCATCTTATCAAAAGGAGCCATTCGGTTAGAGATTCTGGCTTTTTTGGAGCTCATCAATTGGTGGGTGTGGCTCCTATTTAATGTGGTGGAACTACCTTTCCTTCTTTCTTTCCTTCTCTCCCATTTCATTCTTCCTAATCTTAATAGTGAGTCCCTTCATCAATAAATATCACTGTAATGTGGACAGAATGGGACACAGAGCAGATCTACTTCAAGTACAATCTAACCTTTCCTCTTTACTTTCCTGTCAAAAAACTTTACATTACATATATATATATATATGTAAATCCTAAACATTTGATTGAGTATTTAAATGTTTACGGTTTTTTTTTTAATTTTTGAGATTTTTTTAAGTATTAAATCATGAGATTCATTGAATTGAAACAAATAAAATCTTATAGGTTGGTGTATACAACACTATTCAGCCAGTATGCTATATTTCTTCTGTCTTAATATCAAACTACTGATATATACATATATGCATACATATATATATATATATATATATATATATAAAACCATTTCCCAATTTTTAACCATTGAACTCAATTGTTTGTACTTAATTTGCGGTATCTTGATAGGTCATTTCATTGTCTCGATCCTGAACAATTCAAACATACAGGCACATGCCTATCTATACGTAAGGATTGTAATGGCCGAACTGAGCCTGACCTATCAGCTTGGGTGGTGATGGAAGAATAGGTACAAGGCTAAAAGTTAATGCAGTGTACCAAGAGCAAAATTCAATGAAGAAACGACTGCCCTGGAGGCCTGTGAAAATTTTTTTGTACCCATTAACACATTTATTGCTGATTGAAGTACACAGCTCGGATTGAATGCATCAGCAAAGCGCTTAATTCAGAAAACAGATAATTTTCTTACGGAGAAGTTTGCATGAGGACATGTTCAATTATTAAAGAAGCTCCGAGTTTTTTTGTTTTAAAGCTGAAAATTGCTAAATCACAAGCATACAAGAACTTTTAGCTTGAACTTTGCTAATTTGGGACTTTCCATTTTTCATCAGGCTTTGCTCAAATGAAAGAAAAGGAGAGATTTACACCATGTAATGCCAAGATTGCTGCAAGGTCCAAAGTGCAGTATGCTAAATTTTGTTAACAAAGAATTTGTTGCCTACTCAAAGGGACCCAACCCAAAGCCTAGAGGAAAAGGAAAAATTGAAAACAACTAGGAAGTAACTATTTATTTGCTTTCAGAAAAGCCCCTTGGGATTGATGGGGAATCATCACAAGAACACTTTGTTGGGTTTTGTTAACTAGATGGTGCTTGCCCTCCCTTTGGCATTCAAAAATGGGGGCAAAAACAAAAACTTTTGAAAAGGATGGGAGTAGGAATGGCAAATGATTAAAAACAAAATAAAAAGATCCAAGCTTATCTCTTAGGGGAAAATAAGGTCTTGAAATTAAACCCCTTAAAGAAAAGCAAAGATCTTTTCCCATTCAATCTTTGAATTGCATGTTAGATTGGTTTTGATATTTCAACAGCTAGCTTTCAAAGAGGGGCCTCCCTTGTCTCCACGATGGGAAGCACATGTGACAAGCAATGCAATCACCAACACCCACATACCCACTCCAACCATAATTATCATCACAACACAAAGGAATTGGTCTTCTCCCCATCAAAGCAAAGCTACAAGTTTTTAAAAAGAGAAAGGCAGTGAAGAAGAACAACATCAACAAGAAGAATAATAAATTAAAAAAATAAACCAATCAAGCCCTGCTCTTGTTTCGTCCATGATTCATACCAAAACCCTCCTAAAGTTGCTTAATAATCAAGTTTAAGGGAATGATTGAAGAAAAGGAGAAAAAGAAAGGAGATGCGTGTATGCAAGGATGGATCCCCACTATTGTGACCAAGAATTGCATGGATTATTCATGCAATAAAAAGTCAAAAGACATAGCATTTTCCATTTTAAATACCACTATTTGCAAGTTTTCCTTTACTTGGTGATATTGATACCATGTAAAATTTATGTCATTATCATGGAGTAATGCTGTCAAAGATACAAGTTGATCCCATCATCAGTTTCTAATCTTTTCCTTCTGAATGAATTGTTCTTGTTTCAATAGGAAAAAAAGGGTCTCAATAATCATGCCAACCTGCCAACTTTTGAATTCCCAAAGCAAAAGTGATGACTTTGGACCAATTATTCCCACAGTAATTCATATTTCCATTCGTTATGTCTAGCATTTCATCCATATACATACCCCATGCAATGAAAAATAAAATAAAAATTTGAATTATATAAAAAAAATACATATAATTATTGTCTGAATCGATGTCACACATTCAGATTAACGTATAAAAACCTGTAAAAGATGATAAAGAGAAAAGAATTTAATTTTTCCCCAATAAGAAGAAAATTAAAGTGGTTAGATTTTGTTGACCCAAAAAAGGAAATGTAGTTGCTAGATTTGAGGAGATGAATTGAATGATGACTGCATGATTTTGAATAAACTTGACAAATACTTATGAGAAGAAGCTGAAAGAGATGTAAATTTTGAGCAAGCAGTACACGAAATTGATTATAAGAAACATGAAAGTGAAGCAATCACACAGCAAATAAAACCACCAAGACAATTATTTTCAACAGTTAAAGCCATGTTTCTAACAGGAAACTTTCAACAATTTCCAAACATTAATGAAGTGATTTGATGATCTTCTTTTTATTCTGCAATTCTAGCAGAAATTGAGTGAAAAAGACACATATAGAACATTATGATGTAATATGAATAATTATAAGGTTTAAATAATAAACCCAAATGAGTTTTTTAAATTTTGATATACACCCAAAAAATTTTTAGCTCTAATGAAAAATTAATTGCCGACAAACTTAATATCAATTAATATTTTATATTCAGATAATCATAATTTGACAAGTTAATATAATTACAAAGTAACTAATGTAATCACGTGACAGTTAATCAATTGCCAATATCGTAGGTCACATAGAAAAAAAAAATGCCAACAAGTATTACGTTTGATAGAAATTAATTTAGGGCTAAAATTATGTTTAAGTACAAATCAAAAATTAAGAACTCAATTAGGTACAGAAAAAGATTATGGACACATCTGAAGAAATAACCATATTGGAAGGATTATTTTTTTTTGGTATTTAAACCTACAATTTTAAGAAGAATTAAAGATAAGATATAGAGATCCTATATGTTCATACACCTGAATTTTCTGCTTCAATACATACACGCAAAAATATTCTAATAAATAAAAATTAATTGGGCTTTAAATTCACCATCATAAAACCAATATAGACCGGCCATTGACTTAACTTTGTATGTGTTGGTTGGTACAGTAGCCAAGAAAATGCTACCCTCCTATGCTAATGGCAATGTCGGTGGCCAAACCTCTTAAGGATTTATTTGTATCCCCTTCAATTACGCATATCTTATCAATGGAAAAGCAAGAAATTTCTTCAAATCAAACTCGTGCATACATCAGCAATTAATTTGGTATCCTTGTTTGATTTAGCTACGACTATATAGGATTTTATCAGGTTTATATTTTATAGTCTGTCAGAGTATATTATTGAATTGAATTTTTTATTTTTATATATTTAGGAAGTATCATTCTGCTATTAAGTGATAATATGAGTGTTATACAGTGATTATGTGCGTGGGGAATCATTATATAGCTGTATAATAAATTGGAGATGAGATATAAGGAAATCGCTTTCAAAATAAGAATTGAAAAATGTTACCCTTCTGTAAGAAATTGGACATCTTTGTCATAGGAGAAATTCATGGGAGTCCCTGTCTTTTTCTCAAGCTGTAATTGGCATCCACTCAATCTAAAGGGGTTTAATCACTTTGACAAGTGTACCTTTTGTGACCATTTCTAGTAGCATAAACATAGAATGAGCTAAGCAGCACTTTGTTCTCATCTTTCCTCTCTCTTCTCTCTCTCCTCTCTCTCTCTCTCACACACACACACACACATACACATAATTTCTTTATTGAAAACAATATTCTTATACATGACCTCTTCAAAAACTTCACTAAATTAAGAATATTTCTCAAATAATCCTAGTTAAATTTAGATAATTCTCTTTATTTTTCTCTCTTCTTCACTCTCTTTTCTGAATCCCAAGTTAAGGACAAGTATGTGTGAAAATGAAGAAAAGAGAGTAAATCATTGTCCTCGAACATAGATGTGAACAAGGTTGTCTTCAAGTGTCAACTTCTAGAGAAGTGTTATATGATCTGGGATCACACCATGTTCGATGTTAAGATTACAAAAGCAAGCCAGGTAAGCCTAAACACTGATATTATAAAGGGGTGTTGTTTTGGAAGATGGCCCCATGAACTGTCAGAACTGAGGAACACTTGAGGGGTTTAGGACTTTGGGGTCCACTTAAATGGTGGAGTATCTCCAAATTGAACAAATGGAAGCAGCATCAACTCCTTCAATTGTAACTGCATCTAAATTTTTTTTTCTTTTTGGCAGATTATGTGATTATGTAACTGAAACTAAAGAACAGAGTCTCCAGGCTTCCACTTTTGAGCGTAGTGATCCCATGATTAATTTCCTCCTTAAAAAATTTTTAATTAATGTATAAAGAAGGATGGGCCTAGAGTGGGTTAGAAGCAAGCAACCCCATTATCCAGACCCAGGTTGCCAGTTGTCAAGAAATCATTCATCCACGTGGACAATTGAGTCCCTTACAAGAGATGGCACCAGCATATTGCTGCTGCAATAATATAGTAGGAGGATGTAATGAAGAGAAAGGGGAGGAATCCATCAATCTATGGAACATGGCCGAATTGGGGATGGTGTTTTTATGTGTTTTGGGTTGGTATCTGGAGGTGAATTGGCAGTTAAAGTTGCTATCATATCAGATATGTTAGTCAAAACCCCCCTACTACAGTGAAAGAAAGGACAGACTAAAGCATATGAGAGAGAGAGAGAAAGAGGGGGGGGTGGAATGACATATTGTAAAACCCAGAGTAAAAATTTGACATTTGGGGTGTGCTTTGGGATTTCAATATTATAATAATAGTTTGTCTTCACATTCCTTGCCAAAAACAGTGAAAACTCATGAAAGTCTAGGACTTTTCAGGTCTCCTTCTTCAATCAAAGAGGACTCCTTTTTTTTTTTTTGTTTTATGTTTTTAGCCTTTCTTTTAGTTTGCCCGCACCCCACCACCCTTTTACCTGTTCATGGATCCCAAGGGCTCCAAGCAGCCTCCACAAGAAGTACCAAACTTCTTGACCCTGCCACCACAACCCCAACAACACCACCAACATCCGCAACCCCAACAACAGCAGCAACAGCCTCAAAACATGGGTGAGAACAAACCAGCTGAAATCAAGGATTTCCAGATTGTTATTGCAGATAAAGAAGAAGGGAAGAAACAACAGCTGGCCCCAAAAAGAAGTTCTAACAAAGACAGGCATACCAAAGTTGAAGGAAGAGGTAGAAGGATAAGGATGCCTGCTTTATGTGCAGCTAGAATCTTTCAGTTGACCAGGGAATTGGGTCACAAATCTGATGGGGAAACAATACAGTGGCTGTTACAACAAGCTGAACCATCAATAATAGCCGCCACAGGAAGTGGAACAATACCAGCGTCAGCTTTGGCAGCAGCTGGAGGCTCAGTTTCACAGCAGGGAGCCTCTCTATCGGCCGGTTTGCACCAAAAGATGGAAGATTTAGGGGGGTCCAGTATAGGGTCAGGGAGCAGTAGGACCAGTTGGGCAATGGTTGGTGGCAATTTGGGGAGACCCCATCATGTGGCAACAGGGTTATGGCCCCCAGTCAGTGGTTATGGGTTTCAGTCATCATCTGGTCCATCTACAACAAATTTAGGCAGTGAAAGTTCTAATTATCTGCAAAAGATTGGGTTTCCTGGTTTTGACTTGCCAGCTGCTAACATGGGTCAGATGAGTTTCACCTCAATCTTGGGTGGGGCTAGCCAGCAGCTCCCTGGTTTGGAACTTGGCTTATCTCAAGATGGTCATATTGGACTTCTAAATCCTCAAGCTTTGAGCCAGATTTATCAGCAGATGGGGCAGGCTAGGGTGCACCAGCAGCAACAGCAGCAGCACCAGCAACAACCCCCTGCTAAGGATGATTCCCAAGGATCAGGCCAGTAAAATTATAAACTTTGGCAGCAAGACTAAAAAAAATTAGCATTCATGAGAGAGGATGGGTTTTTTCTTGTTATGGTTTCGGTATTGTATAATTGGGAAAACAAAAAAAAAAGTGAGAAAAATGGATACTTTGCCTCTCAGAATTCTGTAGGGACTGGATGGATTTTATTGTGCCCCCTTCTTCTTTCTGCACTGCATCACCCGAGTCTCCATTACAAAGGTGCTTTTTTTTTATTCCTGCCTTCTGTTGAACTTGCATCCTCCAAAGTCTTCGGAGAAGTATCAATTGTTTTGTGTCTTATTAATTTTGATGTGGATTGCAGGTGGAGCTTTGCACAGCCTTGTAGCTTGAGAACTTCTTGTTTGATTCAGAGGTGTGTTGATTATGATGTAAGGCAAATTTAATTGTTTTCTTTTTCTCTAGGTCTGGATGGAGTGGCAATCGGTTTGTTTGTGAAATTAAACATAGAATTTTACAGTCATACATGTCCAGTTTCTTGTTAGATCAAGTAAGAATTCTTATTTCTCTAAAAGAATATATTTGTGCACATACAGGGCCAATTATTGATTACTTCGGGCTGCCTTGCATTTTTCCTGCTATAGCATGTCTGCTAACACATAGGAACCTAGTTCTTTTGTCATCACTTCAAAAATTCTTCCTTTGTGCTGATCTTACCTTGGTTGGAAAACTCTTTCAGCTTATTTCCTTCATAATCCTTTTGTTAAACCCTATATATTTTTCTCTCCATGTTATTCCCAAATTTTCATCTCAATGGATTAATTTTATTCATGGAATTTGTATCCACTCACTGCTTCACATATAAGGGCACTCCACTAAGTATGTCTATGACATTGGATGTGTTATTAACTGTTTATCTCTTTGTTTGCTGTTGAGCAAGATTATGTACATGAGGTTGTCTCAAATTTGGGCAAAATACTCTTGGAAAATTCAAATTTCTTTCTGCCATCATACTTCATATTATTTTAGAAATCATTTTATGTTTATACAAGGATTTATAATTGGCAAAGATCAGTGCCCTCTTAAAATGATGCAGTTTCAGGCAGTCTTCGCTATCCAAACTGTCATAATTTACTTTTTCTAACTCTGAAACTATTCTTAATCCTTGATGAAGGGCTTGGCCCCAACATAGAAGTGTCAGTGATAGCCAAATAGCCGTGCTTTCGCCTTCTTTGAACTGCAGTTTCTAACCTTGAGGCAAACAAGAATCTGTTAAGCTACATTATCCAACTTCCAAGTTGGTTCTCATCAATTTATGGCACCAAATGGCCCAAGTAACTTTTCCAAGCTGCCCTGTTAACTGTTGCTCGAGGGTACCATGTTTTAAAGAAGCCATCTAGTGTTATGGCAAACCTTGACTCAAAGCTGTTAAAGAACCACTTTGTACGAAGCTTCTGAGCTTTCTCTTTGCCAAAGAGTTTTTAATCAACTATAAATGAGAATATTGTGTAATGATATTGAATTAAAACATAGAAAAAGTCAGTGTTTAAGTGCACAGTATCTGATGTGCCTGCACTGAGGTATGCTTAGAAATGATCATGCGAATGTCTTTCATATGTCACATTGACTTGGATTATTCGGTGGAAGCTGATTCTACACATTTAGGACTGGGAAATTTGGAGCATTCATGTCTGAGGTCTTCTTGTGTTGATAAAATCCTTACATTCATATATGTTCAGTTTTTTTTTCTCTTTTTTTAATTTTGTTGCTTCATAAACTAGTGTTTAATTAGTATAGCACTATGGCTTCTCTTTTCTTGTTGCCTTCCCAATGGTTATAAGATCTTTCTTGAGTTAGCTGCATCTATCCTAATTGAAGTAGGTTGAAGATAACTTCTCTCTGTTGGAAGGTAATAGTTGATTTGTGGTTCAGCATCCTCATGTGAACTCTATGGTTGTTTTAATATTCTTCCTATTTTTAGTTTCCTAGCATGAAGATTTGCTGTAAATTTTCTAATACCAAGACTTTCTTTTTCCTTCTTGTGAAAATTCATGGACTAGAGCACGAATGCAAAGTTGACAAATTTGATGAATTTTTTCTTGAATGGAACTTTTACCAAATAAATACTGTAAGATTAAGAATTTAATACAGAAAGCATAAGGAGACAGTGCAAGAATGGCATTTTCCTAACATGTTACTTAAAGAAATCAATGACTCTATCCATGAGGTAAAATATTTACTGGAGTCGTTTACATTTTTGGACCTTGGAGGTTTTGTGTGTATTGAAATTGACAGGTCAGGTTAATTTTGTCCACCATTTCTGTGATAGGCACTGAAGTTTTGTCCTCATTTGCTGGTTTTCAGGAGAGTATCTCTCTGTTGTATTTTCCTGAGTGTATTCAATGTTACTTACTCCAAGTGGCAGCCTTTCAGGTTGACTATTGTTACTCATACTTTTTCGTGGTGCATTGGAATCTTAATCTAACATTTGGTTGTAGTATTATTTTTTCCCACCTTCCTCGTTTCAGTCTCCTAAAGTCCAAAAGTCTAGGTGCAATTAGCCTGCCTAAGAATGAAATTTGACTTAAAATAGCATGGCTTGAGTCGCCTTACTTTGGTTCTCTTCCAGTTATGAAATCTCAATCTTCTCAGCTCCCACCCTTTTAAGCCATTGAGCATCTCATCCTGCTTTAGTTGTTTAACTTGATGTTGCTTTAAGGTGTCAATTTCAGCTTACAAAAATTAGCAACAACAAAATTGCATGATGTTTTCATGATGCCAAGATGTGAAAGAAGTAATTTAACAAATTTGAGTAGATTTTTTTGCTTCCGATCGAACTGCACTCAAATTTGAGTGCTCTTCTTTCTGACAACGAAAGGTCTGCACTCTGCACCCAATATCACATTGCGCAAAGGGGTTCGAAAGAAGTTTATTATCACATTAGACACCTGTTTGCCATGCTCAGGCTTAAATTTTTGCTGTTTCACGGCACAGGCATGGCCTAGAACTACATTCTTGGTTGCATATTCATTCAGGTTTTGTTCTTCCTGACTCTTACCTGGAACCCTGTTCACATTTACAATCTAATGTGCTTGCATATGGTTAAATTGACAATGCTTGCTCAAAACCATTCATGGTGTTATGTTTTAGCTGAGCACTTTGGATGCATGACATCCACCTGCTGAAGTTAAGGGTACATTGAGGATATGACACGACAGCCACTTGCTTTGTATTTTAAAAAGAATTGCCTAGTTCATTTCTCAGAAGATATTGTTTTTGATTCCCATTCATTTTCCCTTTGTATTTTCATTTGGATAGAAATGAGGAAGAAAAACGAGGAGGATATGGGCATTCAATTAAAATTGAAAGGAGTACATAAACATAGCGTGAAAGATGAGTACTTGCCTCCATTTATTGCCATTCACAGAAGGGAAGTGTCTCTTTTTATTGAAGCATGGAGCTGCACACAGAGCAGTCAATGCTTTACCATCCATTTATTGCCTTTCAGCATTGTGGAAATCTTCATTAAAATGGGCATTGCAATCTTACTTAAATACTTCTGGGGAGTGAGACATCACACCCCCAGAAAAGTTCAGGGACATCATCAAGTACAATAGCTCAAAATAAATGCTTTCTTTCCACTGCCTATGGAAATGGAAGTACGTATCTATGGTGGTATGCTGGAAGAGGGCAAGCAAAAAAAAGACAAAAATAAATAATTTCACCTGCATCTCTTATAGTTTCAACATTTTTCATACAATATTGTATGTTTTTTATTGAGAAAAAAATATAAAATATCATGTAAGAAAAATTGAAACCAAACACAGACAATTGCTTATCCATAAAAGCTTTTGACAGAGTAAAGAGTTAAAAATGATGGCGTCAAAACTATGCTTCACAATGAAGCTTTAGCCTTTGCCATTGCTCTTTGTTTCTCTCTCAGTTTATGGTTTCTTTAATCATTGCCAACACTTATGCAATGGGCATTGGGGGCAATCAGAGTAGGCGGTAGACCAAGAAATGGGTAAGGAAAAGCCACATGATTTAAAGGAAACCATGAGTACAAGCCCAACCTTGGGTGTGGAAGTGCGGCAACATCCATTCCAGCCCACTGTCGTTATCAGAACGAGCTCTACCATGAAGGTTGAAGAAGCTCAAACCCAAAACCACACATTTGAAAATGAGAAGATAACTTTATAAAAAGTTGTATGTAAATATTTAATTTATTAATTAGTATATATTTTTTATTTAAAAATAAGACTTAAATTCTCTTCTTCAATTAAAAAAACTAAAAATGTTCTTAATTATATCAAAAATTTAATTATTATTAGATCCAATATCAATCGATTTTCTTTATCACGTGATAAGTGATATAATCACATTATATGTCTAATGCATCAGATTTTTTGAATCTCATTGATTTATCAAATTATATGTCACATGAAAACAAAATCAATTGATATCAAATTTCACGAAAGTTAAATTTCAGTTAATGTTAAAAGGCTAAACTTCACTCCATCCATGAACATCTCTTTCTACCAATCACACAAGGAATTAAGGACATGATCATACAATCAAACGTTGGAGTATTCAAATTAAGGGGGCCACCATAGATGGAGTCATCACAGAAAATGCGTTGGTTAGACTCCAACTTTCTGCAGCTGGTGGGCATCGGCTCAACTTTTGGGTTTGCAATTTTCATTCCAAATTTCTTAGAAATTACATCTAATCAAGTGCTCTAAACCAAACGATACCATGTTAATTAAATTAATTGATAGTAAATGAAAATTTTTTTATTATTTATATGTTCAGAATATCTGAAATTAAATTGATGTGAGATATTTTTTTTTATCATCATTTTAATAAACAAAACTTCATCAATTCCCGAAAATTAAAGAGGTGATGCTCCCTCATTGGGTCTTCCACCTTAACAATGCCTATCGTCCCTTTGCTTTGTTTATCACCCAAAGACGATTATTTCTCCAAGGGTTATATCATCTACATGCTGCTCTCAAATCCAATACATATACCAGTTGATTTGTTCAATGTTATAGCGTTGGTGCATGCCTAGTTTGACCATGTTGGACTTGGAACAGGAAAAATACTCGTACAAGGTACAATAACATCATGATCAGAATCGACTCAGATATTCCATGGCTGCAGCCAGAGCACAGCTGGTTTCTTCTGCTGCTGCCATGCCTATGGAACTTTAGCCACAACTTCTTCGAACTTGGAGAGTTAAAAAAAGACAGCAGGCGACTGTAGGTGAACCCTTTATTTCCTCCAATCATGGCCTAAAAAAACCAGGTGCTTTGCGTATTAGAATTCCCACATTTAGTGCACCTCGACATTTTGATTAATGGACAATAATAATTCCTCCCCACCAAGACAAAGTGGGTTAATTCCAGAAAGTTGTCATTAAGATAAGGCCTTTTAATAAAAATCTTGTCACCCTTTTTTCTATATAATTTTACATCACATGTTTGCTTAGTTGTATATTATCAATTAAAACATTTTAATAAATAAATAGTGAAAATGAATGGAAACATGTGACGTGGTTAATCCTAAACCCATAATCCAAAAAATATTAAAATGAAATACCTCATTTTATAAGATTTAATCAAAATTTTAAATAGATTTATTAGTTTTTGAAATAAAAATTTTATTTAAAAAATATTTTTTATTATATTTTATTAATAATTTTAATATTTTAAAATATATTATTTATTTAAAATTAATAAATTTACGTAAAATTATGGCTAAAAATTAAAAAAAAATGAGATTTTTATCTGAATATTAAATAAGATAATAAACTGAATAATAGATTTTTGTAGGAAAACTTTACTTGTTAAAAATATCGAGGAACAAAAAGTGCAATGTCAGCATCAGATTGGTTATAAAATTCAGAGCTCCCCCTGTCAACGTGGACCTCTATATTCTTCCAACATCAAGGAATGGGAACCCACGAGTTGTTCCATTTTGCTTTGTAATGTAAACTATTTGCCCATATCTATCTTCTCTTCTCCTCCCTGGGGTCCCCTTGGACGGCTCTCCTCTCTTCCCTCTTCTCCATCCATCCTTCCATCTTCCTTCCTGGTTCCTAGTGTCCCAAAAAGCCCTACTTTATTCCCACCAAATGCCCCAACTTCCAACGAAATCAAATATACTACATTTGCTAAGGGGCACAAGACAGCTGGATGATACCCTTTTTTAAAAAAAAAAAAAAATTAATTATCTCTAACTAATATCTATTTACACTCGATTAATCCGTAAACACCCGTTAATCGACCTTGATTTTTAAATTTTAATGGGGGTTTAGAGTTTTATAATCTTGCGAAACATAGGTTTAATTCTTAATTAATTTGGGTGACTATATTAATAACAAGGGGACATTGATTCTTGGGTTATTATATATTTTGCTAGGGAGGATTTTTGCTATATATGTAGGAATGCATTGACATGTATGGAATTTTTTTCTTGCCTAACTCCAAACAAGATGTCCACTTGGCCAATAAATCTATGCAAATTGATGTCAAAATATTGCTTCTTGCCTACTTGAAATGACTAAAATATTAATATTTGTTGGTTGGACCTATCCTCATTATTACTGTGTAAGATCATCCCATAAAATATCTTAATTAAAGATGACTTGTCAAAGCACACTTTGTCACTCCAATTACTTCCACATATCTTATGCAAGCATTAAAAAAAAAAAACCCAATTAGAAGAAGCAAATAAATGAAAAGATGGTTAGGTTTCCCTTTAGGGTTAGGCAATTGGGGGCTGTAGACTTTTTTTTTCTAAAGTTTTAAACCTAATCTCATAGATAGAAACTTTCATAAATTCAATGGATGGTACACCGAAAACAATTTTAAAAATTGGTTTCCCACCTTCAACTTGCTTTAAATTAAACACTCAAATATTTGTTAAGGTGTTCTTTATAATAATAATAATAAGGTTTTTTTCGTAACCATTTGAATTTCATTAATCTTTTGCTTAATTTTGAATTCTCTTTTTTTATTTCTAAATGAAAAAAGTAAGAGTTCAAAAAAACGAAGCGATTAATTGTTTAATTTTTTTAAAACCGACATCCAATCCAATCCAAAATTAATTAACAAGAGAAGATTGAAGTAATGATAAAAAAAACTTGATATTAATTACATTAAAAATATTTTAAAACTTTAAATATAAAAAAATTTCTTCATTTTATTGTCGATTGATTTTCGATTAGATATTTATTTTATAAAATTCAACCAACGTTGACAATAGACGTAAAATTATTAAGGTAACCAATTAAGAAAGGGTGACCTGATTGTGGTGGCGTTAAGTAGAAATTGATGTTTGAGGTTTGTAGCGAAAGTAGAGACGAGCAAATGAAAATGAGAGCAAGTCTCCATCTTGAGTGCAAATTATGTTGTTGTGCAGGGAACTCCACGTTCACAGCTCGTTCATCACTCTTGCAATTCTATGTATTCCGATAAGATACATAAAACACTGTGGATTGAATTTTGAAGTTTCAGTGTCTACATTCTGACCCACTTATGATTATTATCAAGTCATTTTCAATTTATTTGTAATTTTTAAATAAATTTAAATTATAAATATATGAAATTTTTTTTATATTTACAAATAAAAATATTTAATTTTCCATTAAATGGAAAAAATCGAGAATTTGGGCTGTCCATGTTATACGATGAAATTAATCGATTTCTTTTTTATTGTTCATAAATCTCTTTAAACCAAATATCAAATTTATAAAAGAAAAAAAATATGGTCTCTTAACTTAGAGTTTTAGCCTCTTTTTTTTTTCTTTTGGTGTTGTATAATCTAATTGATGGACTAATTAGAAAAAAATAAAGATTTTTGTTATGGAAAAAATAATGGGTTATTGCTAAATTTGGGGAAAAAAACCCTTTCTGAAATTGAAAATAGCCAATTATTATACTGTCTCCAATTTATCACTTTTCTCGAATAATTAAAATTTTTTTTGGAGTACCTTTAAACAATTTTGTTAACGATGTTTTCAGTGTATTTTTTAATATTATATTAGAAAACATTTTTTTCCTCAAAAATATTACTCTAATCATCTTGTTTTTTTATCTTTTTTTTTTCAAGATATCTCAAAATGAAAATTAAAATTTAAACTTAATCTCATGCAGTCTTAAAATCTGAAAATATAACTTAAGTAAGTTTATAAATCATAGATCCACATTAACTCAAAATTTTTTTTTCAGATATTTCAAAATGAAATTTAAAATATAAGCCTAACCTTGTACGGGTTTAAATTCTGAAAATAAAACTTAAGTAAGCTTATAAATTACGGATCTACGTTTTCAACTTAAAAGATATCCCTAATAGGAGGTAGAAGACCCATGTTTATATACTCAAGACCCATCTCATCTCTTACTGATGTAAGATTTGTGACATTTTATCCCACTTAATTATGCAATGCCTTTATGCACTAGCCTTTTACTTGTAGAGGAGAGAATTATATACCCAAGACACATCCCATTTCTTACTGATGTGAGATTTGTGATATTTTACCTCACATAATTGTGCAACACCCTTATGCACTAGCTCTTTACTCACAGAAGAGAGGAACTCTTACACTAATTCTTTTATTGATGTAAGATCCATGATATTGTACCTTACTCAATTGTGCAACGCCCTTATTGCATTGGCTTAGGGATTCTTACACTAATTTTTTTTATTGATATAAGATTCGTGACATTTTAATTCACTCAATTTTGCAATGCTATTATTTCACTAGCTCTTTACTTGTAAATGAGAGGTCATTATTGCACTGACTTTTTTCCCGTAAAGGAAAAAAACTCTTACACTAGTTCAGGTAGATCCGAAACTTAACCTGATACAACTTTATATTTTAAAATAGAGTTTAAGTTAATTTATAAATCATTAGCTCACATTCTCAATCCAAAAGATATAATTGATTGGTGGTGCAAGACTCATGGTTATATATCCAAAACCTACCTTATGTCTTATTAATGTAAGATTTGTAATATAATATTATTAATTTTTTATTGTTATCAATTTAATTTTCATAATTTTTTAATTTTTTCATTAAACATATATATTATAATTTTTTTAAAAATTTAATATAAAAAATTAAAATTAATTTTTATTTTAATTTTTGTAAAAATAAAAAAATATAAATGATATTCTAACTAATTTCAAAAGTAATGAAACCTTTCTCCAACCAAGAAAAAAAAATCGTTGCTATTTCTAAATGAATGGAAGGGGTAATTTGGGGAAAATACAGGAAAAACAGAGGACGGTTCGTCATTAAAATGACCTGGGATAGGATTGCCGCCAAAACACCGGCCAAATCTCCGACCAAAATGTATTGCCACGTGAACATTTGCCACGTCACCTTCCCCATATTCCCCTCAAGTGCTGCCATAAATCCCCGTGCGCCGCAATAATCACCACAGTAAAAAAAAAAACAAAAGTAAATCCAAAAAAAGAAAAAAACCCGGTCAAAAGTACTACACGCCGTCAGCACGCACGAGGCCTGACCACGGGCACCAGATAGCCCCTCTTCCAACCAACCATTTCTCTCCACGTCACCAAAATATTAAGTTTCGGTGTTTTCAACTTTCGATTAATTGTGTCGTGTCACTTTACTTTTTATAGTACCCTTTTTTTTTTTAATTCTGTCGTGTTTTCCTTGAATATTGGAAGAGCCATTCGTTCAATTTTGTACAGTATCAGAGAAGTGTAATAAAAGGTCCCCCCTTTGGGAAATTCTGAGTTCTGGGGTTTGTGAGCTAATCGATTATTACTTGGAAATTTTTTTTTGGCTGTTTGGGGTTTTTAGTTTGTGGAAGTTGGGGTGTTTGTTTGGAGAAATGGATGATGAATACAAGCTTATCAGGAGGGTGAACCAACCCAGGTAATGTTTTAGAAGGAATTTGTTTTCTGGGTTTTTTATGGGAATACTGGAATTTTTGTTTGAATTTCTTGAAGGGTCTGCAAAAGTTTTAATTTTTGGTTCAAGTTTTTCAGAGAATAATGTTTGCATTTTTTGCAAGTTATCCTTTTTATTGTTACGTTGATGGTTTTTTTTTCTTTTGTTTGTTTAATTTTCTGATTTTTTTTCTGTTTCTTCACTTTTTGGCTGATGAGAAGAACTGATCAAATTTTCTGGAATAATTTAAGTTATTGAAGCAAAGTTTTCTTTTCTACTTCCTAAATTAGCTATTACTTTTTTTTTTCTTTTTCCTTAGTTTTCATGGCAAATTAAAGTTCTAGTTTTCCCTTTTAAATTCAAAATCAAGTGACCCATTTGGACTTTCCTAGCAAAAGTGAAGCATATTTGACAAGTTTTCTTGATGGCTCTTAATTTTGCTTTATTATTTTATTAGTATTTAATTTTTTTGGGATTGGGAAAAGGTGGAGTAATTTAAGATGTATGGTTTCGTTGTTGCAGAGTTGTGATTGACAATAATTCTAGTGAGGATGCCACTGTTATCCAGGTAAGGTTTATGGCTTACTGCTTAGTTTCTGGCTTCACTGTAATTAGGTTATATCATCATATGTGGCTAATTAGTTCCTTGAATTCTCTGTTTTCCTCAAGTTAATCATATGCATATAGGATGTTATATTTGAATCTCTGTTGTTTGAGCTTGCATATGAACTGGAAAGAAGAAAAAAAACAGAAAGGGGGGGGGGGGGGGGGGTGCAGCGCAGAGGGGCAAGGGTGGGGATTGCTCAAGTCAATAGGAATGTGTTATAACGGTTAATATTAATGAGGTCCTTCAGTTGGTTGAATGGGTGCTTTCATGTCTTTATTTGTTTAAGATATATTATGATTTAAAATTGAATTTCCTGCTCAGGTTGACAGTGTCAACAGACATGGAATTCTCCTGGAAGTTGTCCAAGTGCTTACTGATATGAATCTTGTAATAACAAAAGCATATATATCATCTGATGGAGGATGGTTTATGGATGGTAGGTTTTTTTTTAAAAGAAAACTGCTCAAATTGTATTATATCCAAAGCTAACCATTTACCTATCTTAATTTCTATGAATATGTTGCCATATTTCAGTCTTTAATGTTGTGACAATGATGGCAACAAAATCAGAGATAAGGAAGTTACGACTATATCAAAGGGTAAGAAACTAACTCATACTGCTCTTTATACCTCCCCACGGATTTTAATTTCTAGTTTTGTGAATTGCTATATAAGACTAAAACTCTTGACCTTGCATATTTCATGGTTTGTGAAAGGAAAATTCTTCCTCATTGTTCAATGAATTCAACTATTGCCCTTTCTTCTGTCATATATTGTTTGTTTCTTCATGAACCTTTAATGTTTGACAAAGCTTTTATTTGACTATTTTCATCTTACTCATTAATTTTGCAGAGAATTGAAACTAGTGCTGGCTTTGTACCTTCACGAAGAGGCTCTGTAGGGGTAATGCCTTCAGAAGAGCATACATCAATTGAACTTGCTGGCACTGATAGGCCTGGTCTATTATCTGAAGTATGTGCAGTTCTTGCAGACCTCCATTGCAATGTTGTAAATGCTGAGATATGGACCCATAATGCTAGGGCTGCAGCTGTAGTTCATGTGACAGATGATTCAACAGGCTGTGCAATTAATGATCCAAAACGTCTCTCGACAATAAAGGAGTTACTTTATAATGTCTCAAAGGAAGTGATGAATTGAAAACAGCAAAAACAATGCTTTCAGCTCCAGGTGTTATGCATAGGGAGAGAAGGTTGCATCAAATCATGTTCGCAGATAGGGACTATGAGAGGGTTGAGAGGGCAGGAGGAAGGGCAGTAGAGGATGGGACTCAAGACCACAAGTACTCTGTTGAATATTGAGAAAAGATTACACTGTATTACCATGAGGTCAAAAGATCGGCCAAAGCTATTGTTTGATATAGCTCTGCACTCTTACAGATATGCAATAGTGTTTGTCATGGAATGGTCAACACCGGAAGGATGGAAGCTTATCAGGTGAGATAGTTGTAGTGAAGCAGCTGATGAAATGACTAGTGAACCAATTTTGACAAAACCAGAACAACTTTTATGAAATAGCAGTCCTACTAGCCAGTGATATTATATTGATCAACTTTAAGAATTTGACAAGCTGATGCTAGTGAAACCACTAGTGTAGATTGATGCTGATGATGTAATCCATTTTGTGTTGGAATTCTACTCAGTTGAGCACAAGTTAATCTTCTAGATTTGCAGACTCAACTGAGTTAATGACATTGACTTTTTTCTCTTCCCATAAACAGAAAAATACTGTTTGGTTGTAGGAATTTATATATCGACATTGTGGATGGGCTCCCCATTAGCTCAGAAGCTGAGCGTGTTCGTGTTATACAACTGAAGCAGCCATTGAAAGGAGGGCATCTGAGGTACAGAAACCACCCCCCTCACTCACCCCCCCACATGCACACATGAAAAAACAAAAATAAGAAACGTGATTATGGCAACCATGCTTACACTCGTGATATAATACTTTGCAACATTTCGTGGTGTAGGGGCTGGAGCTAGAATTGTGCACAGAAGACCGACTTGGACTCTGTCTGACATCACCAGGATATTCCGGGAAAACAGCTTGTGTATCAAGAGAGCATTAATTTCAACAAAAGGTGGCAAGGCCAAGGACACCTTCTATGTCACAGATGTGACAGGAAACCCCGTCGATCCCAAGATCATTGATTCTATTCGTCGACAGATCGGACAGAGCGCACTACGGGTGAAACATACTCAAACCTCACACCTAAACCACCTCATCAGGAGACAACAATGGGTTATTTCTTTGGAAACCTATTTAAAGCACGAACTTTTCAGAATTTCAAGTTAAACTGATTCCTCTCTCTTGTATAGTCCCCCTTTGAAGCAGATATTTGACAGGAATATCAGATTACAACTTAAAAGATATGGAAGCAAGAAAAAGAAAACTCTGTAAATCACCCTCTCCCTTGCTTAGTCTCTAATGTCCTGATACTGCAAGGAAAACAGAAAAAGACTTAGCCAGTCACTACACTGTAAAGTTACTTCTGTTATTTGTATATCTTTCATTGTATCTCCTGTAAGTAATCTCTGTACAGTGTAATATTTTGGCAAACTTTACATGGATTGAACAAAGCTAGAAGTAAGAAAAGACCCTCAATGAAGAAGAAAAAAGAAAGAAATAAATATGTTGTGAATATAAAATTATTATGTACAGAAGCATTCCTTTCTTTCTTTAGAAGTTTACAATTGGGGAACGGTGCGCTGTTTTGGATTCGATAGAGAGATGTTTTCAAAGGATAAAATGGGCCAGTGCCTTAGTCCTCTCTAGCTTGTCTCGTAACTAGTTCGTGACTCAGTCATGAGACCGGTGACTGACTTAGCAAATAGAATAGGCCGAGCATTGATCTCCGCATCCAACCATGCAATCCCAACTCGGACATGGACTGCATCTCTGGAACAGACTCTTCACCAACTCGGTTGTCGTGACTCACTGAGTCCGTCATTGGTCGCCCGAGTCATCGACTCGTTCCTCTCCACTCACCACTCCTCGCCCTCGGCTTCTTCAACTGGGCTTCTCAGCAACCTGGATTTTCCCACGATTCAATCTCATATCAATCAATTCTAAAGTCTCTCTCGTTTTCTCGTCAATTCAATGCCGTTGAAACCCTTTTGAAGCAAGTCAAGGCCCAGAAACTATCTCTAGATTCTTCGGTTTATCGCCTTATTATTAGTTCGTTGATCAAAGGAAAGAAAACCCAGAACGCGGTTTGGGTTTTAAATGAAGTTAACTCGCCGAGTACAGAACTTGGAGCTGAGCTATGTAACTCGCTTTTGGCTGCTTTAGTGTCTGATGGTTACTTTGCTCATTCCCAGAAAGTGTTTGATGAAATGTTTCAAAAAGGTGTTGTTTTTAATACAATTGGGTTTGGTTTATTTATTTGGAGCTTTTGTAAGAATGGTGAATTGAATAAAGTTTTAAGTTTGTTGGATGAAGCAAAAAAGGGGAGTTCTTGGGAGGTTAATGGATCAATTATCGTGGTTTTGGTAGTTCATGGACTTTGTTTTTCATCAAGAGAATCGGAGGCTTTGTGGGTATTGGATGAGTTGAGGAGTAGAGGTTGGAAACCTGATTTTATAGCTACAGGATTGAGCTGAAGCGTTCAGAAAGAGTAAGCGTGTGGTTGAGAGGAGTTGGTTTTGAAGAAGAAGAGAAAGCTAGGGGCTCCAGGAGTGATGATTATCGAGAGTTTATCTTAGGGCTGATTTCGGAGAGACGGATATGTGAAGCTAGGGATTTAGGTGAAGTGATTGTAAGTGGGAATTTTCCTGTTGAAGATGATGTTTTGGATGCGTTGATAGGATCGGTTTCGAGTATTGATCCTGGCTCCGCAATTATGTTTTTGAATTTTATGGTTGGGAAAGGAAAATTACCGACTCTGATGACTTTGAGTAATTTGAGTAGGAATCTATGCAAGCATGGTAAAGTTGATGAAGTTGGAGGTTTATCAGGTTTTGTCTTTTCATGATATTTCTTGGATATGGAGAGTTACAATGTGATGGTTCATTCTTGTGCAAGGCTGGGAGAGTAAGAGAGGGTATGGGGTACTTCAGGAGATGAAGAAAAAGGGGTTAGGCCCAAATGTCTTCTTTTACAATTCCCTAATGGAAGCATGTTGTAGAGAAGACTTAGTGCGTCCTGCCAAAAGATTATGGGATGAGATGTTTGCAAGTGGGTGCGCAGGAAACTTGAACACTTACAATATCCTCATTGGAAAGCTCTCACAGATAGGGGAAGTTGAAGAGGCTCTGCGCCTCTTTCAGCATATGGCAGAGAAAGGGGTAGCACCTGATGGGACAACTTACACAAACCTTCTTGAAGGGCTTTGTCAAGAATCAAAATTTGAATCTGCTTTTGAAATCTTCAATAAATCTGTTGAACAGGATATGATGCTTGCACAAAGCATATTGCGCACATTTGTCATACATCTCTGCAGAAAAGGTATATGTTCCTTACCTTACTAGTTATTATACAGCTCACTCATATTCATTTGCAACTTAGGACACGTAACACGGGTTTATATTAATTGTTACCCTTTCTTGATATTACTTTGAAATATTCATTTCAGAACTCTATTCTGTGTAGATTTTGTCGATATTAGTATCATATTTTGGCTTGCTTTCCAACGTAATGTTTCAACTAAAAGTAAGATGGTTTAATAGATTGTCTATTACAAATCTGGTATGCTTCTTGCAGGTCAGTTTCTTGTTGCTTCTAAGATGCTCTGTGGTCTCAGTTCTGATATAATACATTCAGATTCCCATGTTGTTATGCTGAAATGTTTAGCTGATGCCAAAGAGACTCAGTTCGCAATTCAACACATACAATGGATTCAAGAAACCTCACCTTCAATGTTGCAAGCTATATTCACAAAACTTGCAGCATCTCTTTCTTCTACTTCGAGACTTGATTCGATTGAGCAGTTGCTTCAAGCAATACAGGAAAAATGTCTGCTAGATTCCAACATGTATTCCTGGAAGGATACATCTGGAGCACATACGGGATGTTAGAAAGCTTTTGTTTATCGAACTTCTAGTATTGTTTTCTTCTTCAAAAACCAGAATCAAATTGTACTGTTGATTCAAGCAATGCAGGAAATCCTTTGTCTAGATTGCAACCACAATGTGCTTCATCCCGCTAATAATGATGACAAAACTAGTAACAAGAAAAGAATGGTCTGAGTCTCATATGGTAATAAGCATCAGAAGAAGTTGAAACTAAAGCTAAGGAGTCTCACAGGTGCAATTCTCACTTCTTGAAGACCTTGCAGGGTTCTCTTTGAAATGGCCTCTCTCAGCTTCTTCATCAATGGAAACTTGGGTTCAAACACTTTTTCTATTTGATTTCAATCGCCATGAATACTATCAATGTGTTGTTGAACCACCAAGATTGAGGTGTTGCCCAAGAAATCTGAAGAAGCCAACAGATCACCGATTACACCCAATTCCTTGTTTTCAATCCATTCTGTTAACCCTGACAAAAGAGGTGGTAGACCGTCATTACGCCTGCCTACCACTACAAGTTCGTACTGATTCTCTAGAGTGCGAAGGACAGCAGCAGTCCCTGCCCCCTCCATCACTACTTCCTCTCTGTACATGGCGCAATACTTCCCTGAGATATCGGTTTTAAACTCATTAATAATTTCATTGTCAAGTATACTCTCCTCCATGTAATTTCTGGGAAAGTTTCCATCATAAAGGATTCGTATCAGTGACAAATTGATATTTGGTTGGCCAGCCATCCTAGCTCCCAAAGCTAATGCCTCCCGATCATCAGCTCCACCCAAGAAGATGACAGCAACATTGTAGGAAGACCAGGATGTCCAGAGAGCTCTCTGGTTTTTGGGGGGGCCACGATCGACAAGTATTGCAACTGAGCAAGGTGCCTTAGTGAGGACATTCTGGGTGGTGATCTTGATGGCCTGTTTAGACGATTGTGAAGCACCATTGACATGAAATCTCTTGTAGAAAGGAACTATAACAAGCGAAGTCCGTTTGTCAAGTGCAATTGCACACACATCATCGTGCATCGTTTGAGGAAGAGATATTGAAGTGAAGGGGATAACTGAGACGAGACCTCCTTGGATATCCTGGAAGTGTTTGAAGGCATTGATAACAGGTCCTGAGCCACTTTTCCTAGAAGAGAAACTTTTGGTTATCTTATGGGGAATGAGAAGGGGGGTTGCACTCCCGGTAAGCTCAATCAGGTGAAGCAAGTGAACAGCAATAGGACTTTGCTTGCTGGGACTCAAGGCCCCCAGGAGGTTAATGGCAGATGGAACATTTTCTTGGTCATGAATACAGACTAGTAATTTCAGTTCAGAGTTGGGTCTTGAGTGCATCACAGTTCTACCATGGTAAACCCTGTATTTTTTTGAAGGATCACAGTAGTGTCGCACCATTGGTGTAATAACTCCAATTATAAACAACGATGCTGCGCACATGGCCGAGAAGGACTCGGCATCTATTATCTGCAATCAGCAGCATCCACATGACAGCATTAAGATGAAATGCAACTATGGAAGCAAGTACCTTTGAAGAGTCTTTGGAAACATACCTTTGCATTCTTCATTAACTTGAACATCCCAATCTCGAGAATGCCTTGGAAGTTCATCACAAAGCCAAGCGAGACAGCATCCCTAAGTGGCATTTGGCAACTGAGTGCAGACAGAGAGGCTCCCAAGAACTTTCCACACGCAGCCAACAGGGCAATGAAAAACACTGTGGAGTAAGTTTTGAGACTGATTGCAAAGATGTCTATCGCCAGGCCAAATTTCACAAAATACAGCGGCAACCATATCCAATAGGTTACGAGATCAAGCTTCTCTACTAGCGCTGACCCAAGCGGCGGCCCCGACGGTATCATCAATCCGAACAAAAAGGGACCAAAGTAAATGTGTAAACCAAAATAATGACCCCAAAACCCTGCCATAACCACAGCTAAAAAGAACACAATCAAGTTACTCTGTTTCAAAGGTTGTCCCGCCGTATTCCGCTTCATCTGCCATAGAAGTAAAGGGCCAAGAAGGAAGAAGATGAGAGCTGCAAAGCCCAAAGCGCAACTAATTGTTTTAAAGACGAGGAACACGTCCTTCCCTGATTGACGAAATAGAACATTGAATGTAATCACGCAAAAACTGCAAAGCCAACTAACTATGGAAGAGCACAACGCCACCTTGCCAAAGTCCGAGTTTATAACCCTAAGCTCAGAAAGATAGTATGCTATGGCCGGAAAAGAGAGCACCGATTCTGCTTGTGCTATCGGGACAAGCGCATCCATCTCATTCCCGTCAGCATCAACAAAATTTGCCAAGATAACGGAGCTGCCTATGGTTAATATCATTGGCACTGCCACGGTGAAAAACCCAATAGCAAAGTTCTGTCTGTTTATTCTCTTAAGTATCCATACATCTGTCTGTACACCAATCAGGAAGAAGTAAAACATGAAACCTATAGCAGATACTACATCCATCACTACAAAACTTCTCATGGGAAATAAGGAATCCAAAAGCCCTGGAATCCGGCACAGAAATGATGGCCCTACTATTATACCAGCCTGATGAACCACAAACAAATGAATCAAAGTTAAAAAAAAAAAAAAAACGAGAAAAGGATATTGAGAATTCTTGTCAATTTGTGTTCATTTGCTTTCTTGGGTTGTGAAAGAGGAAATGAGGAGAAAGAGCTTACAAGGATTTGGGCGACCATGATGGGCTGACCAAGAGGCCTGAGGAGATGAAAGATAAGGAGAATGGCACCAGAGGAAAGGGACATTTGGATCAACAAAGCAGGGAGCATGAAATTGAGAGGATTGTTATAGTAAAATATACCGACAGAGTGTAGCGTGGAGAAGGCGGAGCAAACATGAGTGAAATTTGGTATGGTGAAATTTGGCATGCTTTTCAGGATAACAATGTCATCAGGTTCCATCGTTGAACTTGAACCCACGGTTGCAGGAGAGATCACGGCAGGCCTTCACAGACCGCAGTGCTTTCAATGTTGGATGGTAATTGGCAAGGAAACCATGCAGGGAGAGGCAGGGACAGAGTTTGTTAGGATCAAGAGCGACATATTGGGTCAAGGTTTCAGGTTGACAGTTGTTCGCATCCTAAAACCACATTCTAACCATCCATTCTTATACTCATTTTCTTTTTTTTTTATTCTTTACAACCTTTTTTGCGACTTTGGTTTTATTATTTTAAAATATTTCATTACATTAGTTAATATATATACGTAATTTTTAAACAATACTTTTTATATTAATCAATACAAATTTAAAATAAAACGGATTTAAAGTTTTAAAAAATAATTGATCCCAAAAGTCAGTCTTTCCAAGTTTCTTCTACTCTGTTGTTGTACCTCTTAACCATGAATAGAAAAGAATAGAAAGAATTGTTGTGCTCTGAATTAACACACAGGATTTGTTAGAATGAGTCATAGTACTACTTATTTTTACTGTGTAATAATTATTTTATTTTATTCTTATAAAATAATTATTTTATTTCATTTCCATTACATAATAATCATTACGCATTTTTCCAGAATTATTAACTAAATTACTTAAATTACTCGTATTCCAAGTACTGGAAACCGCATTCATTTCCAGGAAAATGAACATACAAGTCTCTTCTTAAAGCCAAAACCTTTATTTTTTATATTTAGAAAAAATGAATTAATCAACTGTGCATCTAAAATAAACTGTACAAAAATTATCTATAGCAAAAATGGGGAGGTAAAAAAAGAATTTACAGGAGATGTACAGCATCATAGAGTGTACATGTGGTTGTTGGTCGTTAATCGTCGAGGCGTTGGATCTCACCCATCATTATGCGGTTGCTTGTGACCTTGAAACCCAGAAGGGCAGGATCAATCTGTCTCCCTTTCTTCCCTTTCTTCTTGCCACTTCGTCCAGCTTGAGAAACCCCATCAGTTGGCTCCAAAGCAGCGCCATTCGTTGCTGCCTCAGTCCCGTGAAGAACCGGCTTCTTAAGAACATCTATGAATGATGCCTCTGACACCGCAGCATCGCTGCAAGATGAGGTCCTTCTAAAACGGGCATCTTTCTTCACAGATGCCTGAGTTTCTGCAAGCCTCACTGCGCCTGTATTCCCCACAGCTTCCTGTCTTCCTTCTGAACATGGTAAATAGAACACAAGATTTGGTGATCAATATACGCAAGGTAAGGTATATAGTTTTTCTAATTTTTTCTTTGTTCATCCTTTCTAAAATAAAGGAAAGAGAAAAATGAAAATCATACCATCAGAAGTTGCAAGGCTTGTAGAATTTTTCTGCTTGACAAAGGCCACTGAACTTTGATCAGAAAAAACATCCTGGGATGACGAAACCCGTGACACAGGTGGGCATTTCTGTGAAACTTTGTCAAGCCCTTTTGCCAGTGACAGCAACCTATTAATAACAGAAGAATGTTCAGTTTTGCAAGTCGAAGTTCAATAGTTAAAACTAAGTTAACAATCAAAAAGCCACATGCACAATGCAGAGACAGAGTCAAATGCCAACAGGGGAGAAGAGAGGGTATTATCTAGTGTCAGGAATATCCAAAAAAGACAGCTCAGAGTTACAAGGTGAGTGTGCCATAGCTGCGTAAATCATCAAACTAAAAATTAACTAACACAAAAGCTCCAAAATTGACTCATTTGTACCAGCTGCTACTACACAAGCACAACCTGAGCTTTTGTCTGGTAGTTATGGACAGTTACAAGTTTAGGCATGGTAATAGGAATTAGGTATTAATCTCTTACTTAACCCATGTAAAAAGGAACCTCACCTATCATTAGAAGCATCTTCTCCAACTGATGTATCTAATCCAATTTCATAACTATACAACCTGCCATTCCCACCTGCACCATTTCAATTACTCTTAGATTTAAATCGAACTGAATAATAATCGGCATTTACAGGAAAAAGGAAAAGGTTTTGGCAGATTACCGGCACTAAGAGAATCATGCCGACTATGGATACCACTTTGTAAGTCACCACAGTCCAAAGCTGTCTCTACTTGCTCTGCCATGTTGTCCTCAGACCCTGACATA